CCCTAAACCCTAAACCCTAGCCTCTCAGCTCGGAAGCCTACCGGAACCGGGAGCTTGTCGATGCTTGGGGTGTAGGGCTTAGGGTTTAGGGTTTAGGGTTTAGGGTTTAGGGTTTAGGGTTTAGGGTTTAGGGTTTAGGGTAGGGCTTTTTGGCCTTCTCCTGCATCGCCCGTAATGAGGCCAGGATTTTCATAGGTCAGCGTGCATATCCACCAGCTTTCAGGTTCAAGGGCCCCAACAACCTTCTTGGTTTAGGGTTTAGGCTTAGGGGTTGAATTAGGACAACTATTGTCATAGTATATTATATGTTTGTAATGGCCCCACCTAGTTGTACCCTCTAACACAGTTTGTCTGGTGAGCCAGTTCTATGGGCAGTATCTTTCAGTAACGAATCATGCTGATCCAAGACTTAAGCCCCACAGTCTAAGATCCTAAACCCTAAACCCTAAACCCTAAACCCTAAACCCTAAACCCTAAACCCTGTAATAAAGGCCCTAAATCCAACCGCGACCCCGAAGTCCTACCCCAGTAATCAGGTGCTCACCACCGTGGTGTTCACGCTCACATTCCTGATCTTCGGCAGAAATTTAGAGGTCTTACAATAATTCAGACACACTAACGTGGTCCCTTAAAGGAACCCTCAAGGGAGCCCTCAAAGGAACCCTTCGGAATTCCATGGATGCTCAAGCGAGTCGCCTTGCGCTTCCGCCAGTTCCGGCCGCTTAAACGTTTTCGTGCTGCCTGCAAAGTATGTTTTCCACTTTCTAAAGCTACGTCGAAGCCTGAAATTGAATCTTTCGAGCAAAGTCAACAGCCAACGTTTGGAAAAGGAGTTCAGTTCTCATGTTCTCCAGCCCATTTTGGCTGTTGCTGAGGCTTGTGCCTGTCAAATTTAATTTTACATAAACCCTAAATCCCTAAACCCTAAACCCTAAACCCCTAAACCCCTAAACCCCTAAACCCTAAACCCCATAAATAAACCCTAAATCCCTAAACCCCTAAACCCTAAACCCTAAACCCTAAACCCCAAACCCCAAAGCTTTAAATCTTAGTAACTACTCGGTGGACTTTTGGAGTTTCGCACATGGCTGCCCCTGCCCCTGTCATTTCCCATTGCGGTTTAGGGTTTAGGGTTTAGGGTCTAGGGTTTAGGGCATGTTGGACTCGTGGTCCCATCGATACGTTTGGATTCTGCGTCCCTAAACCCTAAACCCTAAACCGTGTATCTGCCAGAGGCTCTAGAATGATCATTCTGCGTTGATGCACAAGGCATGTTGATCTCACTTTAGCTCGCGACAGGCTCGCAAGGCTCTCATCCACCATAACCCTAAACCTTAAACTCTAAACCCTAAACCACACACCGACCCGAAACCCCTAGTCTAAGCATTAGGGCATCAGGGCCCCTGGAGTTCACCCACGAGGGCAGCTGCATGGGGTCCCTTACCTAAAGGATCATGGGACTTAGTAAGTAAGGTAATAATTAGGGTAACTATACTTATAACCCCAATGAAGGGACTTATAACCTTACTTACTAAGTCCCATGATTCTCAGCCCTAAACCCTAAACCCTAAACCCTAAACCCTAAACCCTAAACCCTAAACCCTTGCTTACTAAGTCCCATGATCCTCCAAGTAGGTGTTTGGGCTTTCGGGGCTCCTTTGATTCCTTTAGCGTCTCCAGGACTGAAAGACTGAAAGGTTGTAGGGTTATGGGGTTTAAGGTTTAGGGTTTAGGGTTATAGGGTATAGGGTTATAGGGTATAGGGTTATAGGGTTTAGGGTTATAGGGTTTAGGGTTATAGGGTATAGGGTTTAGGGTTTAGGGTTATAGGGTTTCGGTTTATAGGGTTTAGGGTTATACGGTTTAGGTGTTCTTTGGCTTGAAATGTCCAAGACTGCTTTTAGAAGTTTGTAGGCGGCTAGTGCCTTGGGGCTTGTGCAGGGTTTTGTTGAGTGTCGAGGGGTTCTAGGCTCTCGGGTGTTGTTGTGATGGTGTAGTACATCAGATCTCCTTGTACTCGGTACCGTTGTACTCTTATGTACCTCAAAACCCTGTTCTTGCTTCAACTGCAAGACCTCTACAGTCGGCTTCCAAAGTGTCGGCCTTGAACCCTGCACCCCTGGCACCCGTTTCATCTCCCTCTGACAGTTTGTAGGTGGAGGCGCATGGAGGCTACATGCTGGGTCGAGGGGTCTTGCGGGTTTGGGGTTTGAGGGTGAGGACTTGTCCCATCAATCCCTGTTAGAGTTGCTTAAACCCTCCACAACTCCATATGCTGCTAGCCATGACCCAGTCACTCTTATTATGTATTGTATGGAAGATCAAAAACTCTACAGCCGTATGGAAACACATAAAACACGCATGCACCCTCAGGAATCCCGGATCAACTTATCGCACCCATACAAACATAAGGGCACCTGCGCTCTTTTGCTGCGAAATACAACCCTAAACCCCCAAACCCTAAACCCCTAAACCCTAAACCCTAAACCCCTAAACCCCTAAAGCCCTAAACCCCTACACCCCTAAACCCCTAAACCCCTACATCACCGAGGCTACGGCTCTGGTCCTGCGTAGAAGAGCATCCCTCGCTTTGCCTGGAACCGTGGAGGCCGTACAAAGGTTATAAAAGGGGTACTATAGCGGTTTAGGGTTTAGGGTT